TACCTCTACACCTAACGGATGTATCCGTATGCAACTTGCACCCTTTAAATTATCTAATGGATATATTGCAGATGGGGAGGATGATCTATGCGATTTTTTTTGTTTGTTTGTTTGTATGGATCGCCAATTCGATTTGCCTCATCTGGTTGATTATGATTGGTGTGGAATGTTGAGCCACATTGGTTAAAGAGTGTTTAACCCAACAAAGAAAATAAGGGAAGCTTCAACAAAGTCTGAAAAAGGAGGACACTAAAATTGGGAAAATATGCAGAAAAGTTTGTTGAAGAATATAAAATTGAAACTATGATTTTTTAAAGATCTTCTTAAATATTTAGAGTTTTAATAAATAAAAAAAAGAAAAAAAAAAGAAAGAGATTGTATACCATAAGATCACTTACTTTTAATGCAAGCATTCCCAATCACCCATACCTTCTCACGTGAAACCTAACAATTTAAAATGTGTCATAAAGTTCTAAATATTATATAGATTTTCGGCATGATAAATGAGATGCTACCAGACACCTAATTTCACTTCCAAGGGCTAACGATAATCATGGTACCCAAGGCAAATGCTGTTATTATATACTTCTCTCGTGGGAAATATACAATAGCATGCAATCCTCTATAGTGAATCCGTAAGGTACTGACCACCAAACTAGTGGGGTTAGGTCCAACAATCAATTCAACACCATTTACATTCATTAGACTATAATTTTTAAGGATTGTATATAATGAAACTATTTACTTTTGATATAAGAAGGTCACAATTACTTTTAGCCACTCGATGTGAAATCAAATAGTTTTGGTATGTCATAAAGTCCAATTTTTTTTTTTTAACTTTGAACTTGGTTAATGGAATAAATGCAGCCACACAATTTCACATCCAATGATCAAGATTAATTGTGACTACCTTGTACCAACGGTAGATGGTTTCATTGCAATCCTTTTTTTTTTAATAAAAGGGAAATTTATCCAAATTCCTGTTAGAGACAGAGTATTTGTCGATCTACCTATCTCTTTCGATATAATTTCAAAATACTCATCAAATCACATATGATCATGAGTTGAAATAGTTGTGATTGGTAAAACTTTGAGTAGTTCATCTTTTTTTTGAGTATTTTGATAATTTATCTAAAAAAACAATATAAATGAAATAATAGATGTTTCTAAATCTATTAGAATTTTTCTCACAACTTTGTTTAGCAGATTGAAGCGGTCAAAACCAGACAGTTTTAGTTGACTAAACCAAAACCAAAACCAGTCAAACACTAAATTATATTTTTGCTTTGGGCTAGATCGACCAAGCCAAATTTGATTATCCAGTTTTCATAACTATGGCAATATATGCTTTATTTTATAATTTTATGTCAAATTGCTAAAAAAAAGCAACATCTTAATCTTCCATTGAAAACTAAAAAGACAGCATTGTAATCTTGCACTTGTTAACCATGATTTTGGCTTTTCATAGAAGTTTTCTTCCTTTTTTTTATTTTTTTTCATAACCATAAAAAAAAAATCGTTTAAGTTAATTTATCGTATACTATGAGACCATTTATTTTTAATATAATGAGGTCACAATAATTTTTAGCCTTTAGATGTGAAATTCAATAAATTGAAGTATGTCATAATATTTGAGAAAAGTTAAAAAAAATTGAGAAGTGTCTCGAAATATTTGAAACAATTTATGTGGAACTTTTTGTTCAATCAATGATACATCTTTAACCACCAAATTGAAAGAAAGACCTATGTGATCTTTTACCGGGGAATATATATATATATTTTTTCTTCACCTCTTTCTTTTAGCAAAAGATCACTTATATGTAGTCTTTATTATAATAAGATAAATTTCAAAATAAAATCGACATAACAATAAAACTAAGATCTTAACAACTTGATGTCATTGAAACAACTATGCACTATGCTTGAGAATAAAAGATAAGATTGCAAGAAACAAAAGGAAGAGTGCCCGATAGTACTTCAACCGGGATTATTACACCCCACATCAAGTCACCACCATCCGATGACGTGGGATCAACGGTCTAGCTTCAATATCGAACCGGGAAAGCAAATTTCGGCCAAGCCACACCTATGGAACATGAACTCTTTTGATCACAAACTCAAACCCTAGGTGAATTCTTTTAACAACCTAGTTTGAGAGAAATGAATTCTCTTTTTGCTAAACCCTAAATCCCTAAGCCATAAATCCATATTTTAGAGATAGGAGAGAAGAACTTTATAACCTAAACCCTTAGGTTCTTTCACAATGTGGGAGAGTGATTCTTTCACAATGTGGGGCAGAGAGAGATCAAACATGAGAGAGATAAACCTTCTTAAGAGAGAAAAATATAAAGATAAAGTGTAGAGATTTTTTCGTAACAATCCCTTTTTATAGACTTTAAATAAGATTATGGTTTCTTAGGGTTTTCTTTGGCTTGCCTCTTCTTGTGAGATTGAACATAGACCGTCGATCAAGGGTGACTTGTGGGGTGAGAGATCTGAGCTATCCATTCCATACATGGACCATCAACATTATGGAAGGTGTATGAACCATTATCCCCCTTTCTTAAACTGTTTTCCCACCAATAGAAATTAAATAAATTAAATCTAATAAAAATATTGTGCATACCATAAAATAGCACAAGTCCACCTAATCTATCCGCAAAATCTTTCAAAGATATATCAAGTCAATATCTTCCAACTATATAGCCACATGTCATATCACCAAAAAAAAATAGGAAAGAGAATAAGGGTAGGGCGTGCCACCTTCTAAAAGTATGGCGGCCCATGTGCACAATGGGCCCCCATGATATTTTAATATATTTAAAATTAATAAAAAGATTTTAAAATATTATTTGAATATTTAAATAATTGTAAAATCAATCTCTGTAATTTTATAAATCCAAAAATTATAAATAAAATATCCAGGGGTTCATAAAAATTCAAATAATAATATTAAAATAATTTCTATCATAAAACAAACACATTTAAATTAATTTGAAGGGAAAAAGATCCATATGGTTTAGGAATCAATAATCATGGGGCACTCCACCTTCAACTGTGGACTACAGAGCACACTTCCTTTATTAGACCGACCCGGTGTTTCCCATGACCCACAGTCCAAGCAAGGGCTCATTAGCAGGTCATCAAAGTCCGCCCGATGAGCCAAGGGATCACAATCTCAGTATGTGGATTTCAGGTCCTCCCCTAGAGTCAAGGTCACCTAGACCTGATGCAACCATAGCTCCTATAGTGCATAGGGGTATCTCTCGCACATGCATACGCTTCACTTTAAAAGATGGATTTTTGGTTTTTTCGAACGATCTATCGATATGAATGCCGTGTGATGGTACATAGATGAGGTTTTGGCCCCTGTCTCTATAGGCCACCATCACACACAAGGGTCACACAGTCCATTGGCTCACTCATACGGGCATATTCTTCGACCTCATCAAGGGCTAACCTATTAAAACCCTTTTCGGCCTCATCAAGGGCTAACCTATTAAAACCCTTTTCGGTTTGTTCTTTATACCCAGGTAACATGAGTTTTTTCCAACCGACTGTCCTAGATAGTCAAGAGCGGTCCGGTATTTGTAAACATCGTTTGCTTAGTATGGCCTACAAGGGACCATACTCCCACTGAGTTCATGTTCCACTATATCATTTAATTTTACAAGCACTCATAAGGCCTTTAAAGGCTACATGAACCCAACACAGATTTTATATCTATTAGTTAATAATGATCATGGCCTCCTCCGCTCTCGAATAAAAAATAAAAAGGTACATTTCCTAATGAAAAAAAGTTTACAAAGAGTCGAGGCTGTAAACAATCAAATTAAAGCCCATATCAAAAATTTTACTAGAAGTGGATGTTTTGATCTCTAAATATCCTCAAATTGATCATCTCGATATCAAGATGTATGAACATGAGAAAAAAATGGATTTCAAGTTTTGAAAATAGTGCATTCTGTAACACATTTTTTACCATCAATTTTCAAGATTTTTAAGTTCTCATAATCTGCTCGATCTACATTATTTTTGAAGCATTAAATTTTATAATTAAAATCAAAAATATATTTTAAAGTTATCACAAAGATTTGCAGTATTGAAACCACATTTCTCGATACTATTTTAACGTACACTTTATTTTATTGTTTAGAGCCTCGGCTCTATACAAACCATAGTCTTTCTGATTGTATACAATGAGACTATTTACCTTTAGGACGTGTTTGATAACAGGAACCAAGAACGTGAACTGGAAATTGGAAATTACTGAAGAACCGTAAATTAGAACTTACTTAAGAAGTTAATGGTTTATGTGTTTGATAACCTCTCCGGAAAGTTAAGAAGTTCATAGTTTTTGTGTTGGATAAATCTTGAGATATATGGTAAATATTGTATATTTATATTTACATAGATAATAATTTAAATAGAAATATATAATATTTATAACATACTATAATATATGATATATTGTATTTTATATTTATTTGTAATATATATATATATATGAAATTATCTTATATTATATAAAATAATATAATATATTATACATTGTATATATTTTTATTATATAATATTATAAATATCTATTATATAAATATAATATATATATAAATAATATAATATATTATAATATAATATATTATACATTGTATATATTTTTACTATATAATATTATAAATATGTATTATATAAATATAATATATATATATATATATATATATTATTTTTTTTTTTATGGGTAAAATAAAAAATTTATTTTTCAAGTTCCATAGTTTAGCATCGAACTTTTCTCAAGCCTAAAAGGTGGGTACTTCAACATTAAAGAAGAGATCACAAATATCAAACAAAATAAAGTTTCTTCTTCCTCTTCTAATATCCTATTATCAAAACACTCCCGTCACAATTGCTTATCACTATGCTGAAGTGTAATCTGAAGGCTTGGATGAATCACGAAGTTCGATAAAATTTTCTTTTCAATTTTGAGCTTGGTTAATAAAATAAATTCATGTGACCACCTTGATTTCCTCTTAATTTACCCGTTTCTATATACATTGGCCCCGTATCGTCTGTTTGCCCTCTCTCTAGCTGTTCGGCCTGTCACGTAACACACTCTCTCTCTCTTCCCCTCCAATTCTCTCTCTCTCTCTCTCTCTCTCTCATTATTTTTCTTTTCTATTTCCCTTCCCTTTCTCTCTCGCATGATTTTTTCACTCTTTGAAATTGCAGAGTTGATGAAGGGGAAGGGTAAGGAGTGGATCTTGTGCCCATAGAAAAAGGGCACCCTTTTGTCGATTAAGCCATGGATGCCTCTTCTTTGCTTGCTGCTTCCCCTCCTTTACCCACCACTCCCTCAAGAAAGACCTTCTCTAAACCCATTCTCGGACTGAAACTGTGAGGCCCCCCATCTCTCTCTCGTTTCAAAATTCTTGAATTTATTTTTTAGCGATTTTCAAATTATCCTAGCTGATTCCGTGAGTCTGTATATTGAATATTACTTGCCTGTAATTTAACATCAGAAATATTTTCTGGGTCTGGATATGAACTAATTGATTTGTTGTGTCTCTCTTTACATGATAGTTTTTTATCTTCATTTTGTTTGTATAGAATTGTGCAAAAGTGGAAGATGTTTTCGTTTATTATTGGGGTTTGATTATTTAGAGATGCAAATTGTTAGTTTTTGGTAAATTTTATTTTTATTTATTTATTTTTCCAATCCCTCGTTTTCCTTTTATATCTCTATTTATTTATTTATTTATTTTTGGTATTTTTTGTGAAATGAAGACACTGGAAACGCGTGAGAAGGCATGGGTGGAAACCCTTCATTGCTACAACTAATCCAAGATGTGCAATGGACATATCCTTTGGTGGTGGTGGCAGCATAGGTAAGCCTTGATATGAGTCTCTCTCTCTCACACACACACACATGCACAACACACACTGCGCGTGCATGAAAATATACATTCATACATTTGTATGCATATGGTTGTAACTCTCTGCAATTGCGATCTATTGAGCTGAAACCTAGTCATTGAATGGTGGCAATTGTTAAAAATTTTCTTGTATGGTCAAAAGTATTTGAGGAAAGTATACCTTGTTGGTTGTAGTTCTTAGTTGAATGAGCTCACTAGTATTTACTTAATTTCAATTTCATTATGACTTCATTAAATGAGTACCCGGAGCTCCCATAGTTACGTTGCCCCTAACGAAGTAGCAATCTACTTCAGTACCTTCATAATCTTGGTACAAAGCACGAATTATCAGTGGAATCTTTGGCATTTTTATTTTTGTCTCAAAATAAACTCGTAATTAAAATTAGGAAGTGCCTCTTCTATTGGATAGCTCACAAGTTGTAGGGGGCAAATTTTATACCTTGCTTCTTCTTGATGTTGAAATTAATTACTAATAATAAATATTTTTTGTCTAACTAAGACACCATAAGTCCATAACTAGCCCTCAAAAAGAGTAGCTTGCATAATTTGCAGTCAAGTATCCTGAGCCTAAGCATAAGCCAATCGGAGTCAATATCCTTGAATTTGATTGGACACTGTTCTATAACCTATAAACATCAATGGGATAGCATTTCTAGAGTCCTGCATAATGTTTTTCACCTCAATGGCTATGTAAGTATTGTTTGGTGAGTTGATGAAGGACAAAGGAGAGAACCAACCAATAAATTAAGGCCGGTACAACCTTTATCTAGTCACCATAGTTTCCCTGAAAAGAAAAAGTAGTTCAGTGAAGATTTTGTTCAAATGGGAGTATCACTAGGCTTTTGTCCTACCATTAGAGTAACACAAGGTTTTTACCTGCCATTGCAGTTCATGCAAGAAAATCCGTTACCTATTTCCTTTTTTGTTAAAAGTCCTTTTGTTTAATCTAGCCATTTTCTTCTAGGAAATATCTTATCTTAACATCGAAAGTTTTCTGATTTCAGAGTCTTCATGCCTGTGCTTCATCTCTCCAGCAGCATTGACATCCATATCTACAATCATTAATGTAATATGGTATCTGACATGGAAACCTTTATAAAGAGAATGGAATCAGGGTCTGCCCAAAACTAGCCTGGCATTTTACCTCACTAAGGGTCTTGACAAATCCCTTAATGCGTATTTTGGCTTAAGTCTTATTGCGAACTGAATCTGTTTTACCAAATAGGCTAAAAGTTAGTGGGGAATCCATGGAAACTTTTTCAATTTTACCTTGTGGGGTAAGAGTTAATCAGGGATCCATGCAAACTTTTTATTGTGTCTCTAGGTACAAATTTATAAGTCACATTAAGCTCTGAATCAGGTAGTGCTTCTTTGTAATTAGATATATGAGCATACTTCTTATCGAGGTCTTCGTGACAAAATGGGGTACAAGTTTTCTATTTCCCTGAGAGCTATGGCCTTTGCCTGTATGCATCCTTTCACAACATAGTTGATTTTTAATAGGGATTGTATACTATGAGGCCATTTATTTTTTGTACAAGGAGGTCACGATCATTTTTAGCCATTGGATGTGAAACCCAATAGATGAAAGTATTTCACAACATTCAAGAAATTTTGCTTTGGACTTTGTGCCTAAACAATGACACATCCTCAAGCACCTGATTTCAAAACTAACGGTCAATGATGATTGTGACCTCCTTGTATCAAAAGTAGATGGTCTCATTGTATACTTTTCCTTTTTAATATTTTCGCTTTTAAGGTAATTACCATGTAAAATCTGCATGAATCGAAGAACCAGTTTGCCATAAAGTAGCAAATCAAGTTCCCAAATGAAATTCTTCTTAGCTACCATTATTTCCGTTTGCATAATCTTTTGCTACCAAGGTTCAGCCATTCAGGTGCAGCTTCTAGGAAAAATCCAAGCTCATTATTAAGGAAAATAAAATACAGTGAAATGCGTATGCGAAATTAGAAGGAGCTAATGGGTATGTACAGAAGATTAGACATTTGGTTTGATTTGACATAATTATAACCTTTGAGTACCACTGTGACCATTATTGCCTTTTCATGTCCTTGGTGGTTTCTTCTTTTGTTTATTTCATACAGCTGTGTTGTAATTTTTCTTTCATTTGTGAAGTGCTATGGTAAAAAGGAAAAATAGGAGGAAATTGGAGCACAGAAAACCATTTAAATGCTTGAAAATTGTAACTTTGGGGAAGTTCATCTTACAAAACAAGGGATTGAAACACTTGTATACCTTTTGAGAAGGATTTTTTATCATGTCGCAATTTTTTTATTGACACATACATATGACATACCTGAGTTGTACTAAGTTATGTTTCTGGCCAGTTTTATTGTGGGAAGTTATTGGATGCGCTTTATCTTGTTTGTATGAGATCAAGTATTCCGAAATGATCAAGTACAGAACATGTCCAAAGAGGTCTGACAGAAATTTATCGTTAAGAACAGAAAAATTCATCCTTTTAATCAAATGTATAGCAATAAGACAATTTGTGACTTGGAAACATGGGATTTGTAGTTGCACCTCAACAAATGTATATTTTATCTCTTTATTTTTTAGGGGAGAGAGTGCACACAAAGCTGGTAGTTATCGGCATACTGTTCTGGCATAGTTTCTGGATGATGTGCTAGTGTTCCATGCTATTCCTAGTTACCGTCTTTTGTTGAGAAGAAAATAGTGACAGTTCTATTTAGATTGAAGAAACAAGTGCGGATGATAAAAGTGACTATCAATATGCTGATACCCATTTCCAGGACGTACAGGCAGTTGCTCGATCGGTACTTGGAAATTGTACTACCTTTAGTTCTTAAGAACAAAAAGGAGGGTAGCAAGGTCAAGGATAGCTTGTCAATTAACCAGAAGCAACTTATATCGTAAGCATAATCACTAAAAGCATTAGAAATAGGCAAATGATGAGTGGAGACATTATTAATGCCGGTTATAGGGATACAGTGACAATCAAATGTGTATTTGTGACAGGATGTAGCAAGTCGGCCTATGAATGGTGACACTGAATTAGCTATAGGATTATCCACGCCATATGGATACCTGACTTCCAAAGCAGTATTTGCTACCTCAGTTTCGGTTACTATCAATATAGCGAAGTGCACATGGAATAAAGAACTAAAGCCTAAGAGTTCATTAGATGACCCTAAACCGTAGTACTATTGCATATAGGGCCTGCTTAACATTTTTCTCAAGAATAAAGTTCTTCACTTTCAAATACATTTTCAACATTGAAGTACATCATACATATGTTTATTACAAACTAATCACTCTTAGATTTCCAAATATATACGAAATTGCGTTAATCCAACAGGCACAAGGATTTATTCTTTACAAGTGCAACAGAAAGATTTCAATTTTTTATCATTCCGTTTTGGAAAAGACAGCAATTTTTTAGTGCATGATTTCTGAATAGAGCCCATTGGGAGTTGTGTATGTCATTGCATTTAGGGTCGCCATTCCTCTTTGCAACCTTCTTTTTTGATGCCATTTTGTGCACTTGGAAACAAATGGACAGCGAAAAAATATAAAAGGCAAAAGGGGAAGAAAGAAAAATTCTCTGTTTTACAAAGAAAAATTCTCTGTTTTACTTCTTAAGACCTCTCTTAATCAACCTTTGAACCAGTTGAGGTGATTTGAAAAAGCTTTTTAATTATGACTTCAAGTGTTCATTTGGGTGTTCATTTGGATGTTCATCTAAGGATATCAACCCTAGGTTTTCATGAATTGCTGGCTAAAAAGCAGCAATTGATCATGGTGCATGCCAACTTTGCAAAAAGTACAAAGGGAGCCGGGTCCGGGGGGGGGGGGGAAAGGGGGTGGTTTGGGGGGAGGAGATGGAGAGAGATTTTTATGTCAGTCACGTTTGAAGAGATCCCTGGGATTGTCTGTCCTATGAAAGGGAAAATTATAATAGAAATTTAAGTTTGAATAAACTGATTTTGTGAAACTCATTTTTCTCTACAAATGCATAAACTGATTTTGTGAAACGCATTTTCTCTACAAATACGTTATATCTGAGAAGAGTTCATTTTGTACAGTTCTCTTCACAATATAGATATGGTGCTAAACTGATTTGGTATTCGTGGTGATGATCTGCCTCTAAATGACAGCATTGAGGCTCTCTTAGGCCTGTTAGGATTTTATGTTGAGCTAGTATATCCCACATAAATAACCCAGCATAGACAACACTCATAGGCTAAAAAATCTGGCAGTTAAAACTCTGCAATTAATCGTTGACGCTAAATTAATTTTGGGGGATAAGGGTCTTAATATTCTTCACACAAGAAATAAAAATCCACTGAGTTTTTTGCTTCTACCTTTTGATCTTTAGGAAGTTGACTACTTCTTTGCAGTAACCGACCGTGTCACCGAGTTTGAGCAGAATTCGAGTTTTTGAACAGTCCAGACAGGCCAGATGTTTCAAAATTTCCAAAAACCCACCACCTACACCATTAAGCTCTCTCTCTCTCTCTCTCTCTCTCAAAATCCACCATTTTTAAGGTTGAAAATCTACTCTCTCTCTCTCTCAAAGTCCACCATTTTTAAGGTTGAGAGCCTACTCTCTCTCTCTCTCTCTCTACCATAACTTCAGTGGACCCAGTTCAACTCTGTTCTGCCATGTACCGAACCCCAAAACCTGCAGGCCTCTTCATCTGTTCCTGTTTCTACCTGGAACTTTACTTTTATCTCTCCTCCACTCTAACCCACAATCCCTCGCAAGTCCTCCCTTTAGCTTAGCGCTTCTTACCCTTATGCATATGTTAAAGCTCTTGCTCAAATCCCTAGAAAATAGATGGCAAAGATTGTCCAGGGATGGGAAGCGAATTCACTGAGATATTTCCACCACCATTTCATGTCTCACAGGCCATGCGAATTTTAGGTGATTGATACTAATATGAGTAATTTTGGAAGTAGTAGTAGTTCTACTTTATCAAATGTGTAGACATGAGAAGGACCAAAACTTAGCCATACTGCAACAACTCTTTGTTGTTATTGAAGATGAAACTATGTTGTTGTGGTAGGCACTGAGTCTATAAGAATTTTCTGATGATACAATTTGAATTTTCAGATCCAATGGCTCTCTTTTTTTTTCTCTTTTTTTCATTATCAAATCTCACCTGCTAGAATAAGATTGACTGGGGTGTATATTATCTTCTATGCAGTGTTTGAAAATTCGGCTGCCCGACCACCTAGGCAAAAAAAATTTAAAAACGCCTAGGCACAGTCTGGGTGGGGGCATTATGCGTTTTGCTTCTGGGCGCCCACCTAGGTGGTCAAGGCGTCGCGTAGGCACTATTGTCTGGGCTCTTGCCTAGGCGCCTTCCCGTGACAACTTGCTGGCGGCGGAAAAAACCCTCAGGTGAGGGTAAAAAATGTAAGTTTTCCCCTGTAAAAGGGGGGAAAAGGGTTTTAGGGGGTATTTTAAACCCCCGATAGAAAAGCTGTGGCCTTTAGGGTGAGAAAAAACCCTCAAAAACGACTCTTTTGTGATTCATCGAAAGATACGATAAATTTTTTATTTTTTCGATTCTTCCCAAAACAAAGGCAATATAGTTCATGGGTGGATTTGGAGCTTCTAGTAGTTGCTTTTGAGAACTTTTGGCGACCCAATAGGCGAGGTTTGCACCGACATCAATTTGATTTTGATATTTTTAAAGTATTATCATATCTGAAAAAGTGTTTTGATTTTATTTTGCTACAACATATTATGTTATGAATCATGTGTTTTTTCTTCTAGTATGGACTTCTAGTTTCCTACAATGACATTTTGGATTTCAAGCATTTTTAATGTCTTACAACTTACAAGTTTCAATTTCTTTGAGACTTGTATGATTGTCTCATCCGTAAATATGTTATGTGATTGTACTCATTGTAGTATTGTATTGTTGTATTATTACGTTTTCGTCTATTTCATGATCACGAGGAGTTTGGGGCTCTAAAATTGCTCTAAAAACTCCCTAAAGCTTTAAACCATGCCCTAAGAACTCCCCTGCCTTTTATATTTGGGGTTGGGGGGGCAGGGGGTGTTTTGATTTTGGTGAGGGCACCCTGTCCTTGAGCTCTTGCCTAGGCAGCCGCCCGACCGTCTAGGTGGCAGGCACCCAAACTGCTTAGGCGCTTGAATGCATTTTTTTGAACATTGCTTTTATGTCACTAGGACACTGAAAGTGGTGTCAAGTTTTGACATGGAGATGAGTTGTCATGCACAATCTTTTAAAAGCAGGTGTTTTTGATAACATGACTCTGTAGAAGTGTCATTTTTGAGTTTCCACATAAGACATGCTAACAATATGATACATGCATCGGAACATGTGTCTTTGATTGAGACATGTCTCTTATGGAAGACAGTCCTTCTCATATATTATTTAAAGGGCCATTTTTTTTTCACTATGGAACATTGGAACTTTCTTTTTTTGTAACACAGAATTATGTGATCACCGCATATACCAATGAAACTGTAGGGGAAGTTTCATAGGAAGGTTGTAAGACCTGCCATTCTTTATAGGATAGAATGTTGGGCAGTCAGGAAACACCATTATCTATATAATGAGTGGACTTGAGATGAGGATGTTGGGATAGATGAGTGACAAGACAAGAAATGATAGAAGTCAGAATAAATGCATCTGAGGGAACTCAAGGATGGCTCCAATAGGCAATAAGATGAGGGAAAGTAGACTTGGTTGGGTTGGCCATGTTGCAATACCACCAGTTAGGAGGGGCAATTTGGTTCAAGTGGAAGGCTCTAAATGGGCAAGGGGAAGACCCAAAATGACATGGATGGAAATAGTGAAAAGAGATATAGTGGTTTATGGTTTGACTGAGGGTATGACCATTGATAGAGCAGAAAGGCAAAACATGACTCGTGTAGCAGACTCCAAATAGTTGGATAAAGCTCAGACGATGATGATGATAATAATAGACTTATAGTGAAAAATTTCTAAATATACAATCCTATTAAAATTTTATACGTTTTGAATTTGAAATTGGCATTAAAGAAGTATTTTTTATGATGATTACGAATTGTTGTGAATTTCTCTATAACTATGAAATTGAAGTTCAACACTTATGATTGTAGATGATTTTCCATCTGATATAGACAACTGTTTTAAGTAATAAAAATTCTTTGTATGGGGATTGGTTAGCTATGAACCTCAAGGTTGCAACAGCAATTGCTTTCATTTTGAGCTATGGGCTTGAATCCTAGTGTTCATTTTTTTATATCGGCAGCTCATTGCAATTTTTAAATGTCTTCTAGTTTTTTTACTATTTCATACTTTTCTTCTTTTCATATTTTTCTATTATCTATAATAGTTTTGGGTTTATTGAAAGAAACCTTCTTTTAAAGCAGCGTAGCTCTTCTTTGCCCAAACAAAACCATAGTGGGCTCCTAAATGATTCTAACAACATTGTTTTATAGAGAGAAAAGCTTCTAATGTGCCTTTGAATGTGTTCACAATCAAGTACATGTGGACAAGAGCACCAAACCATGTCATGATATGCATACTCAAAGCGCATGAAATTTCTACACCCCATTGCTATTGAGTTCTTTGAATGACTTCTGACAATGAATTGCAAGTTCCAACTATATTGTCTTGTTAAAAACCTTTATATAATATTATTCTACTTGCATCTAATATTGTTATCATCAAATTTAGATAATGGCAAGAGGTAAGAAGACACACTCAACTATGAATCAATGGAGAAATTTTGTAATTCTGCGATTAACCTCGGAATGGCAATGATCATGGAGCTCATTCTCTCACAATTTTCTTCAACAAAATAGTGATACTGGCTTGATTATAAGAAACAAAATATTTCGTTGAGGGGTATAACGAGAAATATCATAAATGGCGTGGATAAGATATCAGAAGCGGAATTGCAAATCCCTTTTTCCTTTTACTTCTGTTGCAATTTTCTTCAATTCCTGATTTACTTTCAAACAAATTCATGTATGTCTCCTAATAAATTCAATAGAATTGTGCATCTTGCATATTTCCCATTTTATATTTCAGACTTTTATTTCATTGGATCCTTATTCTTGGCATGGTCTTGCCAATTAAATTTCACTACCACTTTTGGAGTTTTTTAATGATTCTATCAGAATCGGTATTCTTTTGTCTTCATGATTTCCTAATGCACATCTAGGAGTCTGAATTACCTTCTTCAATAAATATTTAGCCTGAGTCTATGCAACAATTTGAAACCTATCTTTATTTATTTTCCAGAAAGAAGCCTTCCCAAATTTCCACGTATTCATGTATGGGATCCATATAAGCGCCTTGGTGTAAGCCGTGATGCTTCTCAAGAGGAAATTCTGGGGGCCCGGAATTTTCTCTTGCAGCAATATGCAGGTCATGAGAGAAGCATGGAATCCATAGAGGATGCTTACGAGAAGATTATCATGGCTAGTTTCAGGTTAAGAAAGAAAATGAAAATCAACCTGAGGACGCAATTGAAGAAGAAAGTGGAAGAATCTCCTCCTTGGTTTAAAAACTTGCTTAATTTTGTGGAGGCTCCTCCACTTGAGGTGATCCTCAGAAGATTCGCCCTCTTTGCTTTCATGGGGGGGTGGAGTATTATGAATTCTGCAGAGAGTGGGCCTGCATTCCAGGTATGCTTAAATGCTCCCTTCTATTGTGGTAGTAGGTTTGTGAAACATGATTTAGTAAAACACAATTTGCTATGATGCTTTGCTTGTGAATTTCTGCAAGTTTGCAGAAGGTCTTTCTCTCTCTCATACACACAGACACACACGCACACACACTCCCACACTCTCACAGAGTTTTGTTCATAAACTTATTAGCGGTCCTTAACTGGCTTCCAAGACAACTCTGAAAGAGTACACAGAAGCTATGTATACTACTATTGAAATGGTAGAACCTTTATATCATGTAATTTTATCCAATATGCTCCTATGGTGGCTGAATCTGTGACTGGCAGAGAATTTGTTTGTAGTTTCAAAATGCACCAATCAAGTCCGTATCTATACCTTCTACCGGTAATCTTTAATTTGTTTGATGTTCCTGGACAAATAACTCTCAATCATGATTTGCTTTTCATTTTTTTCTTTCATAAACAAAAAGAATAAATAATCCAGGAATGTTTTCTTTCTCCACTTTTTCTTTGACCCAGCAGAGACATGAGTGTTAGAGGTAGGCTTTGACAATGTTGGGGTTCACATAAAGTAGGTTTGTGTGGGTTTAAAGGAATGCATGTCTTAGTAGTTAGTACTGGGGCAGACTTGGGAAAAAACAAGCATGTAAACTGCTATGGACTCATCCTTGGACTTGAGCAATGGCTTGGCTGCTGAGCTTGACACTACAAGCTAAGTTTGTTGAGCTTGACACTACAAGCTAAGTTCATAGTTCAAACCCATAACCCAGCAGGAGTTTATTTGGGTGTTCGTTGATTATCTCAACATTGAGGTTTTGTGTCCAATCCAAAACTTAGCCACTTTAAGAAACACACCCACACACACAGGAGTTGTGTGTGTATTTACTGTAAACATCAAGAGGTTTGGTGGTTGATTCACCAAGAAGGCCCAAGGTGCATTATTGGGCTCTAGCCCCACTGAGTGAGCAAGGAGAAAATTTCCTATTGGGAATCATCTAGGAGTAACCAAGAAACAGTTCGCCTTGAGGGGGTGGGGGAAATTTTTTTTTCATAACAGAGAGAGGCTCAATTGATAATCATGCTTAACAAACACAACCCCACACACACACATACACACACACCAGAGTCTAAATGGGTATCTCGCTTAACAGACATGCATACACCTATGTGAACAAGTGGTTTCGTGTGGTGTAGGTTGCGGTCTCACTGGCAGCATGCATTTACTTCCTCAATGAGAAGACCAAGAACGTTGCCCGAGCTTCCATTCTGGGGTGAGTGACATCTATCAAGGAAGAAGCTCAGCAATACATTTCTCTTTCCTTTCCGTTTTGTTCAATTTTTTGTTGGATTATTTATTTATTATAATTTTCTGTAAATAGGTTCGGAGCCCTTGTGATTGGCTGGTTATGTGGATCCGTCATCGTTCCCACAATCCCCACAGTTTTATTGAGGCCAACTTGGACACTTGAACTCCTAACTGCACTTGTGTCGTATGTTTTTCTCTTCCTCGCATGTGCTTTCCTCAAGTGAAAGTGTGAGATAAGAATATTGTTTTTATAGAGCCATTAAATCTCATCATCAGAGTTTTCAGAACCATTAAATTTCATTATCATCAGAGTTTTGTATTTTATTTAAAATGTAGAGGTTTTAGTTTCTTATAGATGTGACTAAATTTAGAAGTGGTACTGGAAAATGATTGAATCAACAAGCAAACCCAGATAGAGAGTGAGCTCCAACATTTACCCTGTGCAAGCAAAGAATCGATTACTATATAAATTACATGCATATGTAAATAACTGAAAAAATAAAATAAAAAATAAAATGCAAAGAAAGTGTAAAGAACAGAAACATACAAATCAGACGATGCTGTCCTACTGCTAAGGAAGTCAATAAATTATATGCTCCTGTGGGAGCATATTGTCCTTTAACTATTCTGGGTAAAACTCAATCCATGAGTATCTCAAGGACCCCAAATTTTGGGGATGTAACTTCTTCAGCCCTGTGAATAATGCCAAAAAAAACAAAAAAAAAAGGAAAAGAAAAATGGAAATGTATTGTGCTTGTGCGTAATAATAATAATAATTTAAGATTGAATAGAGAAACCCCCAACTTTTAAGGGTGAGTTCTAAGTATTGAAGAACTCTATAACTAATTTTTTTGAAAACTAATCATCCAGTGATGTTTAAGTGAATTCTAAAATTTCAAATCAAAGAAATCCTCCCAAGTATCTCTTTCGCCTAAGGGAGTAAGTATGCATTATTGTACCCCTGATGGTGTATTTGATCCTCTCAACAAACATAACCAGCCCATGTATTGGAAAGGAAAACACATTGGGTAAAAGATAAAAGAGAGATTGATTAAATTAGGCGTGAGAGATGAACAATTTGATACATTATCCATATCTTTTGATTTAATTTTAAAATTTACCCATAACAAGAAATACCTCCAATTGGGCAAAATATTAAAAGAAAAGTTTATATGAGGGTGAGGTCCTAAACAATCAAATTAAGGCATACCTCAAAGATTCACTAGAAGAGGTTATTTCGATGTTGAAAAACTTTCAATTCGATCATCTTGACTTCTAGATGTATAGACATAAGCAAAAATAGATTTTAAGTTTTAGAAATAGGGCATCTGGTAATATATTATCTAGACTGTCATCAATTTTCAATATTTTCAAGTATTCATAGATCTGCTCGATCTACACTATTTTTAGTCTTTAAATTTTACAATTCAAGATGAAAATAAATTTTAAGACCATCATAAAGATTTCTGATACTAAAACAGTATATTCCAGCACTATTTGAAGGTGTGCCTTACTTTGATTGTTTAAGACCTCATCCTTATACGAACCACACCCAATATAAAATACTTATTCTCTCTATGAGTATTTTGTCAAATTTCCCAAGGTAAAACTCTAGCTGTCCCACTGTCTGGTTTTGTGTACTAGTCCCTGACAAGGAGAACTTATCCACACTGTTCCTTACTCGTTTGGTGGAAAGCTGATATTCGCGGTGTAACCTTGACACAGGAAGAGCCATTCTTCAGCCATGCTCATTTAAGTCCGGCACGACGGACTTAACAATGCATTCAAACTGACCCTAAATTAGTTCCTTGCTTCCATGACAATTCCATTTTGGGCTTTTACAAAGGGTCTCCCTTCCCTTCCAATGGTGGGAAGGGTGAAGTTGCAGGATCTGGGTCTTGGGGGCATTATTTAGCTGCAAACAGAATGAGTTGAAGAAGAAACCTGGGGGCATAAACATCAAGAGAATATGTCATGGTTAACTTTGTGCTTCATGATCAATCAATCATAAAAGATAGAATCATAATCAAAATTTTTAAATGCTTAAAGCACTAAATGTAAACATTATTTAACATTAGGTCAATGCGGTGGGCAGCAGAATAGTATATAAAACAGGCTTCTTCTTAGCCATCAACTTCCTCGTTCTTTGCAGTATCACTAATGACTTGAACTACATTCTCCGACACCCTTGATTACTCTTATCAAACAATCTTGACAATATATTGGAATGCTTAATTATTCATGTTACATCTACACTAATTGTGGTAAGCTGTTTGACATGGACCATACACCAAGAAATTAATATAATCCTTCTCATCTCTCGAGTCCCTCCAATCATTAGACATGATCTAGACAATGTAATCAGCCACAATTGCTTATACTTATGAGTAAATTGTCCCATAACTTCAACGCCCTCCCCTCTCTTTTTTAGGTAGATGTCTCTCTCTCCCGCCCTTTTTCAGGCAGATATCCGTGTCCCTTGAAGATATCCATTTCTCTCAAATTTGGGGCATGTTTGATTGCTGGAAGGTAAACATTCGCTAAAAACTGGAAGTTCTTCAATCCTGGGAACTGGAACATTATGTTTATGGAATTGTTAGGAATTGTGTTTGATAACATGTCTAGATATTAAGGAAATTTGGGTACCTGTGTTTGATTAAACTTGAACGTTTGAACTCTGGAGATCTATAAATAAGCCAGTTTTGATCTTCCATTACCTTTTTTGTGATATGAGGCTGATAAGTCCTCTTATGAAGAAGATATTTAAGATACACCTAAACTTCACCAAGTCTAACAAAAAGAAATGTTTAGATCAGGTGATGAACTCGGTTCTGGTCTCTCCCCCACCTCCAAAACAAACACGCCTTTAAAAAAATGGAATGTTGCATATCATTTTTCAACCATTTTATGCACAGGAAAATATCATATCTTGCAGAATCATGGATTCTTTTATATATTTGTATACTTCATTCTTTGTTGTTTCTCACAATAAACCAGGTAGTGCGTACTGATCATAGGGCGTTCTATATAGATTTTCATATAAAAAATATAAGAGCAAAATAGGTTTGTAGATACTAGGAAAATTATATGAAAAAGTGCTTTTATTTATCCGTTTGTTTTAAGTTTCATATTCTTTAAATTATGAAAAAATTGACTGAATATCTTGTTATTTAACATCATCAAAATCTTCAAGTTCACAGAAAGTCTTCAACTCAAGTTGGCCCGGGAGGCCAAGATGGGAAACAAAGGAACTATGATATGATTTATAATAGAAGCAGTACATGCTGGTGATGGCAATCAAAAGAATTACGTTAAATAGTTGTCAAATGGATAGTTGAGATGCCCCAAGCACAATATCACCTGAACACTATTTTATTTTTAAGTTATTTTGTACAAATCAGATTCACACTAAATTTGGGGCGTTCAATTCTCTTATAGAGTCGTACCCATAAAAAATTATATATAAAAAAACAAGATTGTATACAATGAGACCATTTATCTTTTAGTACAAGGAGGTCACAATTATAACTTTCTTATTTGAAATCTATTGGCTTGAGTGGATCACAAAGTTTTAAAAAAAATTATTTTAAACTTTGAGCCTGGTCAATAGAATAAATGCAGTGACCTAATTTCACATTCAATGGTCAAGATTAATTGTGACCACATTGTACCAAAGGTAAATGGTCTCAGTGTATTTTTTTAAAAGAAATATTTTCAAGAAAATAAAATGACTAAAATATCTCTGAAAGTTTCAGGGGCAGTTTGGGCAATTTACTTTTTTAGAAATATTTTTTAATTTTTTTTAGTTGAAGCCCATTGAGATGATGACATGCACCAAATTTTATGTTTATATGATTTGTAGAAATTAAAAAAATATAAAAACACACTATGAGAGTCAAATATAGATCAAACGGTCAGCGTTCACTTGTGACATTATGGCTAACGGTATCCCAGCCATCCATTCAAATTAGATGGCTGGGAGAGAGCAGCATATATTAATTCCTTATGCCTAGTGGCATATAGAAGGCTTTCTCTATTAAGAAACGAGACATTTGACTTTGGAAAATATACAATACCATGCGGCAAGGTTTATGACATATGATATGCCTCAAGAACATCCACTGTTGGTTCTCCAATGATAGATGGTGGCGATTATGTGTGCCGAATCTCCATCACTAGAAATTACGACTGATCGCCATTGAATGCCATCTACCGTGTACTATTGGTGCATGGTGTGATCTCTGTCAGATTTGTCAAGAAGTTAATTGACAATGTTTAGATGGCCACCCATTTGAAAACAAAATCTGCATCGATAGATAAAATGGAGGATGCGAACAGCAACTAAGTTTCAGGACACCATGTCCAGAGGATCAACATGCCCTTATCTCTCTCTCTCGTTCACACACACTCATCCACCCCACTCATATAGAATAAGATTTGCTTTTGCACAATTCAGGATTGAAAATATTGTGTGCTTAGACCAAATGAATCAAAATTAGAAGTTGAAGAAGAGATGCTCTTCTCTGTGGGAAGTGTCACTTTGAATGGGAATACATCGAAAGTGCATTCCTCCACCCACTTCTCGTGAATGAGAATTTCGGCAAGGCGTTGGAGATGACAATCCAAAAGGGTGGCAAGTTTTGATTATCCTTCTTTTTGCAGCTTCTTAACCCTATGTTCTCTGATGGAAAGGTGATAAGGGAGGTAAGCATGCATCCTAACAGAACATCAAAGACAAGCATATATATGTAAAGAGATCATGTATGCATGCACATAAAATGATATCAATCATAAGCACCAGGTAGGGATTGAGCATAGGTATGGTTTCAACTCTCTATAGAAACCAATGGATGAATGGTACTCAGCGGTGGAGGGTGCTCGCTAGTGGAGATGGTTGCTAATGGAGGTCATCGCTGGTGGACGGAAGGTGATGCCCTCTCTCTGTTCTCTCTCTACGGTAGTGAAAAAGCCCTTTTGGGTTTTGTCCTTTAAACTCCCCTATCTTCTCTCTCTCTAACCTTTTCTTATTTTATTGGGTTCCCTTTTTTTTTTTTCTTTTCACTCCTTATGAGGCTGGACCCCACAGGGTAATCACCCAACATTAATGACATCACCTTCAAGCGTTACCTGGCCAACTAGCAGCATGCTTATCAAGAAGCTCTTTGAGGTTCGCATTTGCTAGGTCCTCCATGACTTTCCCAGGCCTCTCTTCAATGAACCCTTCAGCAATCCAAAGCATCTCCCAATCAATCCCATAATCAGTGTTTCAAAAAGCGCTAGGTGGGTCTTACGCGGCCTGGAGGATCCAAGCCACCTAGCCGCTAGGCGGGTGCCCAAAGCCTGGGCGGCCCAGTTGAATCCAAATAAGGATTCTGCAATGCAGTTATGTCAGTATCACTATCGGTTATATGTATTGTAGTACATAATTCAAATTATACTACATATTGGCATTTAGCACACACCCCATAAACATAACCATAATCCATAAGTTGGTTCATACTCCATATCTAATTAAAAATTCAAATTTACAACCAACCAAATTGTCCAACCAAGTTATCAAATAGTATCACACTAGTATTGCAGTACACCACCATGAGGAAGAAAACAAAACTGAATTATGAAATTATAAAAGTAATACTTGAAGACTCAAAAGAATCTTCAATAGTTCAATACACAATACTCAATCAAATTTCAAACTTCAAAGTTTAATAATTATTCAACAATCAATATTCATCATTCATTCATCATCAGAAAATCTTGGGTCAGCTGCATTGGCATTATATTCATTGGAGTCGACGAAGTTGTCACCCTCCTCGACATATTGGTCGTCCCTGTCCTCCTGCGTATCTTCTGAATCAGCCTCTTCTTCCATCATTGTTTTATGTGTAGAAGATCTAGTAGCCCTAGTAGGGTTAGCTGATGTCCCTGAAACATCCATGACCATGTCCCATGTCAATCTTTCATGCCCCTCGACCTCATCATCATCAACTAACCACTCCATAGCATAATCCATATTTTTTGATCTGATAGGGTCTCTCTTATCTCTCTTAGCAAACATGTCTTTCAAGAATCGATTGTACTTGACATAGACTAGGTCCTTGAGCCTCTTTGATTCAAACATATTTTTTTTCTTTGTATGAATCTAACAAAATCAAATGAAACTAATTGAAGTCTAATATCTATGGTTCATGTATTATTTATAAAATGATACAAATTACCCTTACGGCCTTACCCCTTCAAAAGTACTCTAACTGCACTCATAATCGGATGAAGAGAAGTGGTTAGGTTTAAGATCTGAATGGCCAACTTTTGTAAATTTGGAGAACTACACCTATATTGGCTCCACCAATGGGCTACAAAGATATAAAAAAAAATCATAAATAAATAATAGAATTACTTGATTACTTGAACTTGATGAAGACGAATTTAAGAATATTATTAATACTTGGATTAATTTTGTCCTTTGTTTCATCGCCATTAGACTCTCAAAAGACTTTAATGAGCACTTGTAATTTATCAGCTCATCAGCGCATACAATATCCTGCATATCAGGATCAAGGACTAGCACCTCTATACACTCATTAAATTCATTCATAATTGTGTCATTTATTTGTATATTATTGTTAATATAAAAAACAACGGGTTCAAATAATAACCAGTTGCATACAATGGCCGATGTAGCTGCCTATCCCACTTCTCATCAATAATCTCCTAAACAGGCTTGTAGTGGGTTTTCTCATCATTGAAATTTTGGGCTATCTCTCTTTTGTATTTCTCCATAGCATCATATATGTAGCCCATAGAAGGTTTGTCACTATCAACCATGCGAAGGACTTTGACAAGAGGAAAAAATACCTTAAGAGCGTCATTCACCCCTATCTAAAAAGCTTTAGAAAGTATAAAATCGCTCACCTTCTTCCCAACTTGATCCTTAGACCACTTGTATGCTCTCCACTCATTCGAGATAAACATTTGCCTCAACTGCACTCTCCTCGAATGAATGCTATCTAGGCATAAGTACCAAGTCGCAAATCTCGTGACCCCAGGCCTCACAATCTCATTCTTCTTTGTAAAGGTACGCTTCATGCTGAGGGTGAGAAGGTGGCTATAAATGAAATTTGTAACTAACTTGGCTTTCTTCATTGCACCTGATATCTCGGTTAAACCGCCAAGAGCCTCAAGCATGAGGTCTATACAATGTGCTTCACATGGTGTCCAAAAGATTTTAGGATAAGTTA